AATGAACGAACGAATGAACGAACGAACGAACCCTGACCCACAGGTTCCAAAGGCCCCGGGGGTAGCCAGGCATTTGCCCCGAGGCAGCTTGGTACTTAGTTCTCTGTCCCTCTTCAGGGGAAGGAGGTGGTGGTAGTCCTGGCCGGGGAGAGGCCCCGGGGGCAGAACACTCCAGGGTCATGAGTGGCCCCCGTTCACCCTGCTGCTCCTCAGACGGGGGACTTGTTCACCCGGAAGACCCCAGGCAGAAGCTGGAGGGGGCTCTGCTAGGAACAGGGGGGCTGAGCCTGGTGGCCGGGGTGCTTTAGGCTGGCAGCCGTTGGCCTTTCCCACCCCCCGCTGGCCCCCCACTGGCCACTGCAGCTCGTCTGAGCGGAGAAAAGCGGGGGCCCCTCACACCTGCAAGTGGACGGAGCTCTCAGGAGGCCCAGGCACGTGCGCGCGCTGGGCTGACATTCAGTGCTCCTCACACAGCTATGCCAGTTACTAGAATACTGAAGTATTTCTTTACCGACTGGCTGCCAGCTCCCCCAGGCCAGCCCGAGGGGCCTGCTCTTCCTGCACGTCCACACAGAAGCCCCCAGTGCAGCTCAAGTCTGACCTTCATTCCCATCAGTCAGTGCCCATGCCAGACGGCGCCCCTCCTCGTCCAGCTTCCCGGGCACTTCCTGGGCACTGACGTTGGCTCCCCAAAGGGCCAGAGACCAAGCTGGAGCCCCCTCTGCTTCCTGCCTGGCCCCAGGGAGCCGTGGGTGGGATGGCCTGGGTTCCCTTCCTCCTGCCTCTGGTTCAGCAGCCAGACCACCACGGGGCTCATGAGCCCTGAACAGCGTGTTCCTGGGTCTGGACACTGTGGGAGAGAGAGCAGCCTGGGGGTGGCCTCCACCCCACAGAAGGCCCAGGAGCAGCTCGGCCGACCCAGGGGCTCAGCGAGAGGGGCAGGAATAGAAGCCCCAGGCGGGCTCCCGACGGATGCCCAGCCCTAGGGCCAGTTCAGGAATCAGAGGCTGCCCTGTGTTCCCGCCATATGAAACTTGAGGCTGAAGCGGGGTCCCCCCAGGAGGGGGGAGTAAGGGGCCCGCAGGTCAGTGCTTGGTGACCAGATTTCACAAAAGTCAGGGCCATGGTCTAACAGCACAGCACAGATCTAGGGGTGTCCCCGGACCCTTGGGGCAGCGGGAGGCGTGAGGATCTGTGGAGTCAGGTCCCTGCGGTTCCAGCCGGACCCGCCAGAGGGCTCGGCTTGGGGCTCAGCCCATTTGTTTTCCTGTCTTGTCCGAAGTATTTTGCAAACATGGCTTTGAGCCCACCTCCACTCTGCATAGCCCAGGGCCACACAGGAGACAGAGGTGGCGCTAGATCCCAGCCCAGGCCCCCTGGCTCCAAACGGCATGGCCATCCTGAGACGCCCCCCCCCCCCAGGGTGAAGCTGGGGGAACCCCGCCATGATGACATGGCCTGCCTGTGAGGACAGACCACGGAGAACCTTTGATACTCCTCCCCTCCGCCCCCACGGAGGGGACTGCAGTTGATAGCTCTCAGCTGGTCCCATGCAAGCTGGAGGTCAGCAGGTGGCTAGGACAGGGTAGCCTCGAGTCTCCCTCACCTGTCACCTTCCCAAGATGCCTAAGCCCAGAGCCCTGAACCCTGGGCCCTGACTCACTCAGACTTCATGCTCCACGTTGGCCCGCTAACATCTGCTGCTGCTCTTTGGGGAGGGGCTGTCAGCTCCCCAGGCCACCCCAGCACCCCATTCTTCCCACCACCCAGGCCTAGGGGAGTAGGGAGAAGAGACATGCGGGGGGGAGCCCTGTTTCTCTGTGCTTATCTAATTGGTGACCCCACCCTGGGATCATCCCCATGCCAGGGCCCTGATGGAACCCTGAGAGATGGCCCGGGCAGAACCCCGTCTCTGGATCACCAAGTCCCGCTCATGCCTACTCCTCCCCAGGTGTCGTGTTGGGGTCTCCCACCCATAAGTGTCACTAGAGGGCATTTAGGCTCCGCCGTCTGGCAGCCTAACTCCTGCCACCTGCCCCATAGGGCCCTGTGCTCCCCAGCCCCGCACCCTCCGTGCGACTCCCACGCTCTCCACTGCCACGGTCTCAGACAGACACTGGAGGATGTCCGCTAAGCTGGGGGCACTATGAGGTGGCCGAGCCGAGGGAGACAGTTGCTCAGTCTGGTTCGGGGTTCCCGGGGGCCAGGCACCTGGCTGAGGGCTCTACAATCTCCATGTCACCTGAGCCTCACACCACCTGTCAACAGCCCAGGTTCGGATGAGGAAAGGGACTCCTCGAGGTGAAGGGGTTTGCCGGGGTCCACCTGGGTAGAAAGCACCCGAGCCTCCGCCGGAACCAGGTTGGACCTCCCCGTGAGTGGAGCCCTTCTCGGGGCACAGGGGCTGGGCAGCTGCTCCCCTGCCAAGGTCTGGCCATGTGGAACTGCCACCCATGCACAGAGGGACCCCTGAGCTAAACCAGACTCCCCACCCCACACAGCTCCAGGTCCAGCCCCCGATTTCCCCGTCCGCAGTCAGATGGCTCCCAGCTCCTCTTACCAACGGCAGCATGCTGAGGAAGTTATTTAACCTCTTGTTCTTCATTGTTCTGTCTGTAAAGTAGGGATAACGACGAGCATGCACCTCGGAGGACTGCAGAGAGCCAATCAGTTCACAAATGTCAGTGGGACTTGTACAGAGCAAGCGCGACCTAAGCAGCCCTGTCTGTGAAATCGCTGCATTCACTGGGTCTTCCCGGTTCCCCCTTGGCAGAGGCCCAGCCTCTGTCCTCACTCCAATAACCAACACGGTCAGACGCACAGTAGGCTCTTTTATGTTTTTTGTTTCAGTCAAGAAGGGCTATCAAAGTTTGTGTGTTCGAGGGCAGTCTTGAATTCCAGATTCCAGCCAGCCACATTCTTCCTAGCAGCTAGGCAAGAGGAAACCTTGGGGAATGAGAGCTATATCACTGGCCGTGGTTTCTTTTATCGCTGTGACCACTGGGAAGCTCAGAGGCAAAATTATATATATGGGCAAAAGTAGGTTTACAGTAGTGAGTACACAAAAGTTTATTCTTCTATTATTAATTTACTAATGATTGCATTATCATACAAACAACTGTCCACTCTTGCAGAGTTGAACTAAACAACTAGAGCGCAAGGGTGGCAGCTGCTGCCACTTTGCACGCCGGCTGATCGAGTGGGTGCTGAGCGGAGAAGGGTTCTGAGGTGGCAGGGAGTGCTAGCAGCCGTAAGAACGGCCTGGGGGCACCTGGGCGCAGGTGAGAACCACCATCAATTCCATCAGTTCGTGATGTCTGCAGCGAGCAGGGCACGGAGAGCCTACTGCGCACACAGCATGCATTTGCCATCACCAGGTCGGGCAACTCAGCCGTGTTTATTCACCCAAGTCCACGCGTCCTCATACCTTTATGTTTCCTCTGTCATATTTTACATGTCCTGGTATGTGCTTCCTTTGCGGAGTGAGGCAGGTGATAAAGTGAGCTGGGGGCCTCACCAGGAGCCTTCGGCCCTCTTTGCAACACAAGAGGCTCCTCGATTGTGGCGGAGAACAGACAGGTGGAGCTTAAGCTCCCTCAGCCCCCCCCACCCCCCCCCCCCCGCCACCCCGTGTTGTGCCTGGCGCCTCCCACAGGCCTGGATTTCAGCCACAGACAGCTTCTTGCAAGAAATTAATCAGATCAAGAGTTAGGCTGTCACTAAGGTGTGCCCCTACATCCTCAGTGAGGACCAGGCTGTTGGGCCTGGGCCCCCAATTCCATCTCTCTTTGGGGTACATCTGTGGCTACATCTAATCAGGGCCTGAGAATCTAAAGTAATGCGATTTAGCTAACCCTGGGCGGCCACCTAAAAAAAAAGGTAACACGATTTAGTAACCACTGCAGAGCTCTAACAATGCAGATTCCTTACCCTCAGCTCAGAACGGCTGCATCTGAATCCCTGAGCCCCGGAATCTGCATTTTCCACCAGAGTGCCCCAGGCAGGAGAGCCCACAGGCCTGGGGCTGGTGAGGCACCTGGAGCAATTGAACAACTCAGGGCTCGCAGGCTGGGGCAGCAGCGCCACCTGGCGGCCTCTTCTGGAATAGCTCCCATCCACCACCCTTCCTGCCTTACTGTAGGGTGGCAAGTTCCCCCCACCCCACCCCTTCCTCCTCCTCCAGGGCCCCAAGAAGTCAGAAAGGAAGAGATGGTGGGGCAAGTGCCTCCTACTCCCACCTTCCACACCCATCCCAGCCGAGAGGGACTTGCCGCGTGCTCTGCCTTAAACAGCTGAAGAGGCCGAGCACCTCCTCCGGCTTGCAGGGCTGGGAGGGGAGGGCTGGGCTCGCCCTCTGTGTACAAGAGCTTCCTGCAAAGACGCACATGGCCTCTTTAAGGCTCCTGAATCCTGCACATCTTACTCCACTGCATTTCTTTAACATGAAAATGTTTCCTTCCTTTGTCGAAAACAGATGCTCTAGAAAGAGGCCAGGCTTTTCCTGCGGCTTCACTGACCCCTCCCTCACCAGCCCACTCCGTGTATCTTCTGGGGGCACCTGCACCCTGGTCTCAGAGGCAGGAACCTAGAGGTACAATCTGCACCTGTTTCAATACACAAATCCAACCCCAGCCACGTCGCAGCCAGGCAGACGGACCGGAGCCGGGTCACACTCCTCAGGCACCGAGCTGCAGAGTGGGCCAGAGATGCCAAAAAAGGGCCCCTGTCCTGGGGACAGCAGCGAGGTGCCTACCACACTCCCACTCACACCCTCTGTCGCCCCTGTCCTCCCGTGGCCCGGGACGCAGCATCCCCAAGTCAGGCTCAAATCTTACAAATCCTCTTTAATAGGCAGTCTTCAAATCTCGAATATGCTTCACAGAACTGTGCATGAGCCCCTGCTCACCCCTACCAAGCACAGCCTCCCACCCACTCCCCGGGAGACAGAGGCCCTGGGGAAGGCAGGGCCAGCTCTGTGCTGCACACCAAGATGCCCCCCCCTCCCCCCCCCGCTCCCTAAGCAGCCCAGGGTCAGGCCAGACCCTCCGGCCTAGTCACCCAGGCCTTGCTCCTCCGACCTGGCCCAGGCAGAGCTGAGCTGCCTGAGTGGGGCCGGGTCGGGCCTGGGGAAGGGGCGCCGCCCCAACATCAAGCAAAGCCCACCCTTCCCCACAGCCTTTAATGAAAAGGTGAAAGCCAAAGACAGCATCATAGTGGAAGAAATGCTGACCCACGCAGTGGGCAGTCCCCTGACAGCCCGAGTGCCTTGTCTGCACCCCCCAACTTTTAATACACTTTCCCCCATACAGTATATACAGCCCAGAGGCCGGTGGAAACCCAGTCCACCTGTGCAGACGCTGCAGGTGTGCTCTCTGACTGCTCAGAGAACCCTGGTGGGCGGTGAGCAGAGGAGTCGGAACAGCCGGGCTCGAGGCCGCAGGCAGAAAGGCAGGGAGAGCGGTCCAGGCCCCGGACAGCCCCTCACGTCCAGCCGCACAGCACAGACGAGGGGCCTCGGCCGTGAGGTGGGAGGGGCCTGGAGGAGGCAGCCAGGGAGACCCCCAGCAGCCCTGAGGGTGGGGACAGCAGCTGCCTCAGTACTTGGGGACCTTGCTGTAGTCCTCGGAATGGACCTGCCGGCACAAGCAGATGGACAGGAGCATCCCCAGGAGCTGTGAGGGAGAGGCGAGAGTCAGGGAGGCAGGGGCCCAGCCCTCGGGGCCCAGGGCGTGCCCTGCTGCCAGGTCACACACAGGGTGAAGACCCTCCCGGCCACAGCCCCACGGCCAGCCTGCGGGAGGGACAGTGCTCAGGCCAGGCTGGCCACAGGGCCTCTAGGAGCTGAAGGGCCTCAGCCTCCCCCAGGGCATCAGAGCAGGGACAACCCAGAGGACAGAGCAGGGGGAGGGTGGGGGAGGGGACCCAGACCTCGATGACGGCGACGCCCCCACACACGCCCAGGATGACGCCCAGGTTGTCCTGCAGCCACGCCTGCACCTTCTCCATGCAGCCCTGCAGGGGGAGCACACGAGTCAGCCCGCAGCCGCCTCGCGGGGCACGCAGCCCAGCGGCGGCTGTGTGTCCCCGGAACAGGTTTATCAATAAACATGTACGGAAGGTACAAATGACAGGAACAAATGGGTCAGAGGCAGGTACAACTAAGTGCAGGAAGGAAGAACAGAGAACTGAAACCCGTGGTGACCCCGAGCCCAGTCCCTGACCCCACAGCCCTCCACGTACCGTCTGATACACGGGCCAGTCCTCAGGGCTGTTGCCACTCTGGGTCTTGTTGCTGCCGGTGTCCTCGCAGAAGCCCTTCTTCACGAGGGGGCTGCGCACCTGCCCCCTGTCCTCGCAGGAGCAGGGGTAGGTGGTGGTGGTCCGATTCATGAGCTCAGCGTTTTCTGTCCAGTTGTAGAAGCTGACCCAGCCACAGCAGTTGCCCTGGGCGAAGAGGGGACAGGCTGCTCATGCCCACTGCCCCGCAGGCAGGTGCCCTCCTGGCAGAGGTGGGGGCTCCCCGAAAAGAGGCTCAGATGCGCCACCCCCAGGCCTCCCAGGTCCCGGCCTCAGCACCGGGGCTCAGGTATAGCTTTCACGTTGGCTTCTGTGAGCCACAAGGGTGCTAAAGGGGCTTTCCGGAGACACACCGTCCACTGCGCACCACTGGACGGGGAGGCTAATGCCTGGGGGAACCCCAGCACACACAGAGCAGAACAGGACGAGGTTCAAGCTGGAAGGCAGAGCACAGTGTGGGGACAAGCAGGAGGCCAGATGACGTTTGGGTAAGAGCATGGGATCTGCAGTCAGGCTACTGGGTTCAAATCCCGGCTCTGCCACCTACCAGCTGTTCAACTTTGGTCAAAACACTGACCTTGGTTACCTCATCTGCAAAATGGGGTGACAAGGTTTCTAACTCTCAGGGCTGTTAGGACCGGAAGGGATGAGGCAGGCGGGTCTGGAGAGCACAGTGATTGCTCAGGAAAGACCAGCTCGTCCAGCCAGTGTGGCTCAGTGTTTGAGTGTTGACCCATGCACCAAGAGGTCGCCGGTTCGATTTCCGGTCAAGACACATGCCCAGGTTGTGGGCCCGATCTCCAGTGGGGGGCATGCAGGAGGCGGCCAATTGATGTTCTCTCTCATCGATATGTCCATGCCTCTCCCTCTGACATCAGTAAGGAGAGGCGGCTCCACTCCCCGGTGTTGAGAGCTACGTTGCCCCTGAGCTCCCCAGTCACCGAAGAGAGAAGGAGACACGGTGTACTCTGCCTTCCAGAGAACATGCTCTGGTTTCAGAGGGGAAGAAAGCCTTTTGGGGCTCAGGTGCTGAAAGGGGCCTCCTGGGGCTCACGAAGGGGACCCCGAGAGGCTTCGGATCACACCTCAGCTTGAGTACCCGACAGGACTGGGGTCTCGGGCTGAGCCTGTGCCGGGAGGGCGGGGCAGAGTGGGCAGGGCTCCTTCGGACTCCTGGCCCTGCCCTGCGTGTGGCGAGCGGTGCCCTCTGCAGAGCTGCTGTCCTCAGCTGGACAATGGGTGGCAGTCACCACCATGCGGGGCCCCTGGGAGGGTTCATGAGCTGCTGCGTGCCACCATGCCCAGCACACAGTTAGTTTCCCACCTGCTTCCTTCCTATCTGTGATGAGTCCCTGACAAGCAGCCTAGTGGCCAGCAGGGGGCATGCCAAGCATGCTTGGGCATTCTCGGGCTCCAGGTTGTATTGTTTTTCTTTATTGATTTTAGAGAGAGCGGAAGGGAGAGGGAGAGAGAGATTGAAACATCGATGAGAGAGAACACCGACTGGCCATCTCCTGCATGCCCCCCACTGGGGACTGGACCCACAACCTGGGCATGTGCCCTGACTGGGAATCAAACCGGTGACCTCTTGGTGCATGGGCTGACGCTCAACCAGGGAGCCACACCGGCCAGGCCCAGGTTGTATCTGTTACGTTGCAGTTGCCTGGCTGCCTCCTCTCGGGCAGAAAGGTTGGCACTCGGAGGGGCACCCACAGGTCCTCCCACACCCAAGAAAAATGAGGCAACTTTCCCTGGCCCTTCTACTGCACCCGCAGAGCCTGCTCCCCAGGGCCTCCTGCCCTGCCTCGGGCCAGGTCTGTCCCCAGCCACCACCCACCGTGTCTCGGTGGGTGTTCATGGTGAATAAACATCACCACATGGTACGTGCTGCCTGAGCGCCCTGGGCTTGGACAGTTCATCCCACACGAGTCTGGGTCAATAGCCCGTTTTACAGCTGAGGAAACAGGCTCAGAGACGGTCTGGCCAGGAAGTGGCAGTTAGTATCCAGCCCTCAGGAGCCTGCCTTACAGTCTGCGTCCTTAACCACCACCCAAGCAGCGTCTGACAGACATCAGAATCATCTAGAGGCCTTCCCAGCTGCAGGGATCCCCCAACCAACTGCCTCCCACGGCGGGACGCTCCTCATCACCCAAGGGACCCACTCCCCCGTCCAGGCTCCTTGCAAGGTGGCATCTGTTCATCCTGGGACATCGACTCCCTCTAATCTTAGCAAAGTGTCTCAGGAATCATGGGATGAAAACATCTCCCCGTGTGCACCAGCCTCCAGCTGACATGGGTCCTCCTACCTGACCTCACCTGTCCTCACCAAAATCTGTGCGGCTCACAGGCCAGAAAACATCACCCTCCCCTTCTCACCGCTCAGAAGAGGGAGGTGCCCTGTCTCCCGGACAAAGTCCTCTCCAGCCTCCACTCCCCTGCGTCAGCCCGCGCCACCGGTCCGCGTGCTGGTCGGACCCAGTGTCCACGGGAGGGGCGGGGGCTGCAGCCAGCAGAGAGGGTCCTGGCCAAGGGCGCACAGATTCTGGGACCACGAAAGAGGGCGCAGCCAGGACCTGATCAGTGCTGGCGATGTGTGTGTGAGGGCTGGTTCACCACCAAGGCAGGCTGGGGACCCAGTCAGATGTCAGTCAGTCAGTCAGCATGTCAGCCTGTCTGTCACACAGCCATCCATTGTCAGCCGGCCGGGGGTCCCCGGCTGTCCCACTGTGCGGTGGTGTAGCGCACACTCGGCTTGGCGAGTCGTATGTACTGCTGACATGCCAGCTGGACCGATGAACACACCACCCTGTCACCCCCGGAGGGCCATGGCTCCCCCTAGAGGTACCCTCCACTCAGACTTGGCACCCCGTTTCTTAACCTCCAACACTCGCCAACCTGGCTGGACATGAGGGCAGAGAGTGGGCCCCGCTCTCCGGCCACAGGTGGAGAGCGCTGTGAGCCACGGGACAGCCCCCAAGACCCGGGCCCCGAGCAAGGAGCTGTGGTGGTGGCCGAGGTGCCAGGTGGGGGACTGCTCGGGACCCCCACCTCCCCCATCAGATACACACGGTGTGTCGGGCGCACAGGCACACGGAGACCAGACCCGCGCACAGAGCAGGCAGGAGCCGCAGCGCCCGGCCCAGCCACTCACCTGCGCCTGCACGTAGTCCCAGCCCTGCTGCAGGCTGTCCTCCTGACCATCCTTGTAGTCCCGGATGAGCTTGCTGACGATGCTGCCCATCTCCTGCTTCACCTGCAGAGGACAGCGAGGACCAGGTCAGACCCCGGAAGCCCGTGCCCGCCTCCGGTCACGCCTCTGGTCGCGGCTGGAACTGCCCCTCCCTGCCCTAGGCCTGAGCCCGGGGACAAGCTCACGGTGGGAAGCGTTTCCCTGCCCGCTCCCACCACCCCCTGGCACTTCCTGTGGGTCACCGCACTAGCCCAGGGCAGTCAGGACCAGCTCCCGCCTAGTCTAGTCGGCACGCAGCAGCCGTGTGATGCTTTAAATGGGAATCTTTCCATGTCACTGCTGAAAACCTTCCCGTCGCTTCCTGCTGCTTTTAGGAGAAACATCAACATCCTCAGTGGCCCACAGGGCCGTGTCATCTGTCCCCCGCTCTTCCCAGCCTTTCTTCCTTCTGTTCTTGCCTCCTCTGCTTCCATTACACAGGTCTCCGCGCCGTCTTAGTGCCAGGTCACTCCTGCCTCAGGGCCTTTGCACTCACATTCCCTCTGCCTACCGCCTCTTCCCCCAGGCACAGCAAGACTCCCTTCTTCACTTCCTTCAGGCTCTGCTCAAGCGTCACCTCCTCAGAAAGGCCTTCCTGGACCACCCTGCAGAGTAGCATCCCTTCCCCATCCCCTGCCCGCCCCCTCCCATGCCCTCCTCATCCTGCAAGGAATATCCTGTACGTTCTTCATAGCGTTGCCATTACGTGTGCATTTGTTTCCAGGATTTATCACCCCACCCCGCCCGCCCCGCAGGACGTCAGCTCCGTGGGAGCAGGGACTGTCTGGTGAGCCGGGAGCCGGCAGGGTAGGTGTGTGGTGTCCACAATAAGGAACATGTGCATAACCCCACTGCCTGCCACGCCCCCTCCCCGTCAGCCCCGGTGCCTGCACCTGGGCCCCCAGACCCCCATCCCGACAGTGCTGGTCACCACCACGCTCAGGAATTCAGAGGCCCGTGCAGAGGAGATGCACACCCACTTTCATGACCCCCCAGGGAAAACACTGATTTACAAACAGCAGCCGTAGGGGATGGGATCCCAAGGGTTCAGCCCCAGAGGCCTTCACGGGGCCCCGAGTGGAGGATCTCACTACGAGCTTTCCAGGAACAATCAGCTGCAGAAACCAGCCCAGATTGCTGAGGACGGGGCTTCACTCAGCAGCTAGAACGGCCCCGGGTAGGAGGGGCCCCAGGCCAGCCCCCGCCTGGCCCCTCCTGGCCTCCCCCGGACCCGGACCCCTGCACGCCTGCCCCTCGGTTCCTGAGAAAAGGGGACCAGGGAGAGGGGACAGGTGTTTCCAGGCTGGGCACGGCCCCCTGCACGCCTGCCCCTCGGTTCCTGAGAAAAGGGGACCAGGGAGAGGGGACAGGTGTTTCCAGGCAGGGGCTTTCAGAGCCTGGCTCTGAACCCTGTGCGTGGGCCTCCGCCAGCTCCCCACAGGCAGGCCCATGGCCCATGCTGTGTTCAAAGAAACCACATCCTCCGGATGGACCTGAGGCCCTGGCTCCGGCCCACCCGGCACGAACCTGGGCAAAGCAGCCGAGTTCCCTCTGCCCCTCTTCCTCTCGACAAAGCTCTTAGCAGGTGGCTTTGTTTGCTCCCGGAGGTCCCTACAGCTCACCTCCGAGGACCAGCGGCAAGGCCAGCGCCCACCCTGCTCGAACGCCTGTTCGCACCCTCGCTGAGCCGGGCACCTTCGTGCGTTCTCACCTAACCCTCGGGGCAGACCTACGGTCTGGGCACAGACCTGGCTCCCTCATCTCAGAGACGTGGAAAACGAGGCTCAGAGAGGTTCATCAACTTGCTCAAGGTCACGCAGCCAACAAGAAGGGCCGAGGTTTGATTCTGAACTCAGGCCTGATTCTAAAACCAGCATTTTAACCATGTGACTAGACCTTGAAGTAGGTCATGGCACTTTTTTTTTTTTTAATCCTCACCCGAGGATATATTTTTTTTTTTACATTTATCTTCAGACAGAGTGGGAGGGAGGGAGAGAGGGAGCGACACATGGATGTGAGAGAGACACATCGAGTGGCTGCCACCCACATGACCCCAACCGGAGCTGGGGACGAACTGCAACCGAGGTGCGTGCCCTTGGTTGGACTCGAACCCGGGACTCTTTGGTCCACACCGGCCAGGGCAGTCATAGCACTTTTACGAAGGCCCAGAGAAGTCCAGTGGTCTGCCCATGTCCCACCGCTGGGCTGTCCGCCCGCAGATCTTGTATCTTCCTGCCGACCAGCTCTGCTCCCCACCTCTACCCCAGGGAGCGGGTGATCTCTGAGGCGTGGAAAGAAGGGGGCTCCCCAGAGGCATTTGCTGGGAAAGTCACCTTCCCCACATCCTGTCCCCTGCCCCCCCAGCTGACCCGGGCTCTCTCCACACCTCCTGTGGTTGCCGCAGCGCACAGACTTCCCTGTTTCGGGCCCTCCTGAAATGAGAAGGTGGTGGAAACCGCGTGCTTTCCGCTGTGACCAGGTGGTTTCCATGGAAACGCCACATCATCCTCCAGCCCCAGATGGGACTGAGGCCGCAGCTGAGCCCAGGCTGCAGGGGCTGAGAGCTGAGAGCTGGAGTCTTGAGAGCCCCATGCCCATGAGGCTGTGTTGGGAGCCCAGGAGGGCGCCTGGCAACCAGGCTGCTCCCCGGCCGAGGAGGAGCAGGGAGGCAGAGTGAGGTGACACCGCCTCACGCCATCTGTGTAGGCTGCCTGCCCTGCTCCCATTCTCCCCTCTTGAAAGAAGTTCCTTTCCTTAGGGGCCAGCACCCCTCAGCCCTCCGTGTGCCCGGAAGCTCTGCCCCCACACGTCCCCACTGCTGTGGGACGGGTATGCGTCCCTGGTCGCACACAGAGGCTCTCTTTCTGCTGATCCGATGGGAGGAGGGCCGCCAGCCTGGGCTCCACTGGGGCAGCCGACAGAGGAGAGACAGCTAGCTGAGCTGCAGCCAGTGGCCGCTCCGTGGGTCACTGTCACAGGCGATCAAAGTCCTGCCCAGGAAGAGCTGCATTATGTCCAGCCCAGAGCAAGACGACAAGGCAGCACACGTGTTCACCACGATTAAGAAGTTCAAAGCAGCCCTGGCCGGTTTGGCTCAGTGGTTAGAGCGTAGGCCTGCGGTCCTGACAGACCCGGGTTCTGTTCCCGCTAAGGGCACGTACCTCGGTTGCAGTTTGTCCCCGGCCCTGGTTGGTCGTGCAGGTGGCAGCCACTCGATGTGTTCCTTTCACATCGATGTTTCTCTCTCTCTCTCTCTGTTCCTCTCCCCCACCCCCTGAACAAAAAATGGAAAAATGTCCTCGGGTGAGGATGAAAAAAAAAAAAAAAAAGAAGTTCAAAGCAGCAGCAGAGCATCAAACCAAGCACTGGACCCTTCCAAGTGCGGGGACTTGTGTAGCCACTCAGGTCACATGCCTAGGAAGCCAGCCCTGGTCCTGCCCAACGCCACCCTCCCGATTTCCCAGGAGAGAAACTGGAGGCCCACAGCCAGCAGGCAGCAGACATATGACCGAAACCTGTTATTTACCGCTCCAGAACCCCAAGATCCTAACTACAACAACCCTCACTGTCTCCACCGCCCCAGGACACCTCCCTGCCTCTCCCCACCATGCTGTGCTTTTACTCCGCCTGGTCGTGTGACCTTTCACAAAGCGGTTGAATTGGAAGAGAAGTCTGAGTCCAGTGTGGCATCTACATGTAAGAATCCTTCTATACCTTTCCAGGTTCTGATTAAATGCTCCCTTTGATGGGGGGCTCAGTACTTCACAAAATAGCACATTACAAGGTTGGGGGCCCCTTGATATGAGCGATTCATGGCAAGTTGAGCCCATGTGATTCCACCATTAGTGTTAGTTCTCATCCTCCCTTCTCCCCACAAGTCCCAGCTGGGGCCACACAGAACCGATCAGATCGCTCTCTCCCAGGACAAAGATGGCTCATAGTTGAGACCAGACCACGTCCCCCTTCACCCTCTCCCTTCCAGGGGAAGTTTCTTGGTTCCTTGGCCACCCCTTGAGATGGTGCTCGGACCTCTCCATGTTCTAATATGTCCATCTCCTTAGAAAGAGGTGCCCAGATGTAATGGAAATGGACCGCGATTTCTGTCTTCTCCGCGGGTCCCCATGGGCCATGTCGCCAAACCTCTGAGGCGTCATCCTGGCACCGACAGGAAACGAGACCCTTCGGCGAATGTGGAAGGGGTGGCATGTTCACTCCTAGTGACCACCTGAGTGTTTCCCGAAAGTCTGCTGCAATCCAAACAAGACACCCCAGAGTTCAGCAGGAGGCCACGTCCCCCCCAGTCACTTCGCAAGCTCCTGAGGGCAGGGTCTGTGCGGGGACCACCCACGCAGCCTGGCACCCAGCGGGTGTTACACATCTGTCCCGTTTTCTCCATGATCCCGTCCCAGAAGGCCAGCCCCGACACCTCCTCCTCCCCGTCCTGGCGCCTCCCAGCCTGCACCAGGAAGTGCTCATCAGCGAGCAGACACCTCACAGGCCGCATTGTCCTCAAGAAACCTGTTTTACCGCCTGTACCCTGGGGCGTGTGCACAGCGCCTGTTCCCGGCTTCTCCGGTGGGAGGGGAAGGAGGAAGGGTCACAGCTCTCCTGACCACCCTTCCTGGGGAGCACACGGCAGCTGGCTCACACACTCATCACCCCAGCCCCATCCCACCCGGCCATGCCAGCCCCTTCCCCTCCGAGCTCTCAGCCCCCAGGCCTTCTGCTGAGCCCCACACAACCCCGGAGCCTCGGCAGCCTCATCTGCGCAGACTTCTGGGCAGGTTGGAAGTGTGGACGGTGTGAGCGCAGCCAGCCCAGTGCCCAGCCTACCGCGGGAAGCAGTATCAGCTCACTTCCTTCCTCCTGCCCTCCCACACTCCCTGCCTGCAGAGAACAAGTCAGAATCCCACAGTCAGAGCTTGGAATGGCCCCAGAGGTCGCCTGAGGCTCAGAGAGGCTGGGTGACTTGTCCAAGGACACACAGCAATCGGTGCAGAGCCCACTGTGCAACACAGGGCCCCTGAATCCCAGATCTGGCCATTGCCCACTACACGGAGGCTGGATTCACAGTCAGGTGAGGAAGCAGCCAGCGGGACCTCAACTGCACACTCCTGGTTCCCAGGGCCCTTGCTAATGCGACACTGATGCCAACAGCAAGACTCTGCTGTGTTTCCTGAGCCCTTCCCAGGCACTGACGCTGACAATGGTGCCGAGAACAGAGCAGACGTCCGCTCTGGGCCAGGACTGCTCGGCCGTCCGTGCTCGTCGCCCTCGCCAAGCGCTAGAAGGTGGCCCCTGGGGCCATGAGCTCTGACACCGAGATGCTTCAGTTTTGCAAAGGGGTCAGGGTATGAGTCACAGACCGAAGTCTCTCCCATCCCCATCTCCTGAGGGACACCCGAATGGGGTGCACAAAGGCACACATACCCTTGCTTCCCTTTGGGTCCATTTTGCCGCCAAATGAGTTGCACATGGTTTTGGGGGATTTCCAAAGTGGTCTGGGGTCTCAGAATTGCAGACAAGGGGCAGTGGACCTGTATGCTCACTGCCACTTGATAAACGAGGCAACTGAGGCCCAGGGAGCCGAAGTAACTTGCTGGGGTCCCGATAGGGCAGGTTAATCCCGGAGCCCAGGCCCTTGACCACCGCTCTGTATTTTATAACACGTTTCCGTCGGGCTCCTGGGTCGGGGTGGGGGCCAGGCAGGTTTATTCTCGGTTTATAATGGAGGGACTTGGGGCTGGAGAGGCCACATGCTGTGCCCAAGGACCCAGCCGCCCTGGAAACAGTGGCTGTTCAAGTGTGGGCAGGAAAGACAGATGGCAGCCTGGAGACCACCTCATGGGGAGCCCAGGGCTCGTCCCCCCCACCTGCCTGGGGGGCCTGGAGAGGGGGGGGATGGGCCCTTCCCTCTGGGCTCACACCAGTCCCACCTCCCCAGCTGGGCCTCATCTGCAGGAATAAACACCATCAAGGGCATGTTTAGTCTCCCACCAGGATTTACAATGTGCCAGGAAAGAAAAAATAAATCACTCATTCTAACCCGGGCGATAGAGCGGCGCCAGAACTTCCCCAGAAAAGCCGGAAAATTCCCCCTGCCTTCCAGAAGAGGAGGTGGGCCAGGTGAGGGGGCTGGAGCCTGGGCGGGGTGAGCCTGGGCTGGAGCAGGAGGCAGAGGGACAGTCTAGCCTGGAGTCAGGGGAGGCAATCCCCCCACAAGCCTGCTCTGGAGTGGGGGCGGCTCCGAGGTGGAGCTCCTGGTCGTGAGCCGCGCAGACAGGACCGTCCTGCGGGAGGCAGATTTGGTTAGAGGGAGGCGTGGGCTTTGAGTCAGAGAAAGTGGATGGAAATCCCCACTCTGACACCTCCAACCTGTGGGTGACTGTGGCCAAAAGTCACTTTGCTTTTCCGGGCCTTGGTTTCTTTTCTTTCTTTCTTTCTTTCTTTATTTTTCTTCATTGATTTTAGAGAGGAAGGGAGAAGGAGAGAGATAAGAAACGTCAATCTGCTGCCTCTGCACGCCTCCTACTAGGGGTCAGGCCCCCAACCCCGGCATGTGCCCTGAGTGGGAATCGAACCGGGACTTCTCAGTCCATGGGACGACGCTCAGGCCACTGAGCCACACTGGTGGGGCTGGGCCTTAGTTTCTTAAAGTGGAAAATGCTTATAAAACTGAGCCGAGTGTCACGCGGTGAAGTCAGGTCCTGGCATGTGGTTGGCGTCCACAGATGGGTACCCCTTTACTACCTGAGATGGGGAAACACAGGGGTGAGACGGTGGGCTGCCCGACACCCCTGACAGTTGTCCAGCTCTGAGTCCTCGGAACCAGCTCACTGGAGCCCAGCTCTCGTTCGCCCTAATTATAACGTACTGACTGGGCCCCAGAGAAGCCGCGGGTGCTGATCCCCTAACCCTCTCTCTAGAAGAGGAGTTTCCCTGCCCCAAGCACGTGCTTCCTGTGAGTAGCCAAGGAGCTTCCTCCACCTACGGAGCCTGGATTTCCCTCCCTGGGCCTCGGCTGCCAGGACGCTCGGGGCTCAGGGCAGCCCCCTCCTGAGAGGCCCGCGCGGCTTCAGGAGCCAGGGTCGTCCCCGCTCAGGGTGCATTCCGAGCGCTCTCATTCTGATTCTAGCCCCCCGGCCAACTCTGGGGAACAGGCCGGGTATGGGTTGTCAATGAGCAGATTCAGGTAAGAACTGCCACAGTGGTCATTTTACCAGCACGAACCCCAGGCTGCTGGGCTCCGAACCTCAGCTCTGCCACTTACTAGCTGTGTGCCCTTTGGCCAAGTTGCTTGACCGCTCTGTGCCTCCGCTTCCACGTCTGAAAAGACGGGTATTCATATCCGCGGCCTCATAGCGCTTCTGTGAGGACCAGGTACTAATGCAGCACGTGCCCGATCCCAGTTCCGGGTCTGTTCTACGTCCGAAGTGTTAGCTGTGGACGGTGGAGCGCTTTCAGCTTCCTTCTGAGAGGTACCTGGGGCAGCTGACCTTCCAGTGGTAAACTGCAGGCGCCCACCTGGCTCCCGGCTCCGCCACCTGCTCCGTGGACGGGAGCTGTGGCGCTGGAGGAAGGCAGGTCCCGGCCAACTCCTGCTGGAGTCAGGGAGCCCGAGCTCGCCCTGGACTGGCCACTGACCTGCTGGGTGCCCTCACCCCTCACCTGCAGGACTCGGATCCTCACTCCATCTTGGGAGGGCGCGGTGTGGACCAGCAAGAGAATGAAAGTAAAGTAGCCCAGACTGTACCCAGCAGACGGTGTGTGCTGGACTAATGTAGGGAAAGTGGAGGTTACAGTTACTATTACTAATGTTGTTATTGCTCTTCCTCTCTCTGAACGTCTGCTTCCCTGCCTGACAACATAATACTTACAGAGCTGTTGTGGGGAGAGACAGTGTATGTAAAGCTTCCAGAAGATACCATGTGCACACAGTAAGTGTTCCATAAGTAACTGTGATACCCACAACTGACTGGCTCACCCAGCAGCCATTCCCGACTCCGGTGCCCCTGTCCTTAGAGTCGGAAAGCTAGACACTTTCTCATCCACCCTTAAACCAGGGGTGCCTCGGTAACCCAATCCGGGGGAGATTCCTAGAGGGCCTGCTCTTCTGATAGAAGGGATGGCCATGACTGGCATGGCTCCATTCCCCTAATTCTGGCCACAGCAGCACGAGATGGGGCTGTGGCAGCCATTTTGGGACCATGAGGTGAGCGGCATGATGTAGAAAAGCTATCACGATGAGGATGCTGAAAAGACAGCCAGAACCTGGTCTCTGAGCTGCCGAACTGGACTTCTGGTTATGTCCACAAGTGTCCTTAGATCTTAAGCCAGAGTAAGTCTAATTTTCTATTCCTCAAAGCTGAGTACCCTCCTCTGACGCAGGACTAATGTTTTATGGGCAGTCTGCTCCGGGGCCTCATCTGTGGGTGAGTGGCACGGATGTAATACCGGCTGAGGCTTTAACAATGATAACAACAAACATTTATTGAGGCCTCCCCACGCCAAGCACTGCGCCAAGTGTTTTACTGACAATCTCACTGAACCCTCACAACAACCCAAAGAGCCTCATTTCATTGTCCCGCTTACAGCCGGTGAAACAGGCAGAGAGGCCAGCAGCTCGCGCACCGTGGCCCCTGGGCTAGAGAGTGGTGGGGTGGAGGGAGAGGGCTCTGGCCCTCCCTGCCCACAGACACTGCCTCCCGGCGACGGTCCACCTGAATCACAGGAGGCCGCCCGCACCTACTGGGCTTGTCTGTGACAACCGAAGCTTCATGTCCATTCCCCATCCCCAGGCCGATCCCCCATGTGGCCAGTCGAACACAGGGAGGGGACAGGGACGGAGGGGTGCGTACCTTGTCCATGTTGAAATAGAAGAGGACACCAGCAGCCACCTGGGCGATGAAGATCAGGAGGAGGAAGACAAAGTACTGGGGACACAGAGCAGGAAGTCAGCTGGGAGTCTCCCACCAGGTGTCCCCTCAGATGCCCCCCACCCGGTCCAGACGGGGCAGGGCTCGAGGGCCGGCAGGCAGCGGGGGAGGGCCTACTCACCAGCCCCAGCAGGCAGCGGACCTCGTTCACGGCACCGACGCAGCCCAAGAAGCCCATGAGCATGGTGACGGCCCCCACGCCAATGAGGACATAGGCCCCCACACTGAGCGAGTGGGAGGAAGTCTCTGGAGGATGGAAAGAAAGGATGTTCGATCCAGCCTGGCTGTCTCGCGCTCATGAAGTACAGAATCAGGGACAGGGCCCGAAGGTCCAGGACTGCTTCCAAATGCCCTCCTAGAGTCGGGGTGCTGGGTCAGCCCCCCCAGCAAGAAACCTGCCCCTCGCCCCGTTGGACGCTGCCGGGATGTGCCTCCCCAGTCTACCCTAACTGCATCCCTGCTCCCTCTATCTCCGCAGCACTGACCAGGAGTGAAAGACTGCATTTTACTAAGTTCTCTTGCTCGTGTCTGTAGCCCCACAAGAAAGAGAACTCCAGGAGGGCAGGGACTTGGGCTTGCTCGTGCCGAACCCCCAGGCCCCGAGCGGTGTCTGGCACAGCAGAATATGCAGGAACAGCTGCTGAACCAGGGGCTGGCATTCCGCTGGGGCCGCAGACACGAGTCCTGCCTTCCTCCTCGTCCATGTAACAATAAACACCAGCCTCTCTTGCCCACTCACTGTGCCCCGGGGGTTTCCCACGTGCCCTCTCCAGCTCTGATACAACTCAGCACAGCCACTTCACAGATGGGGAAACTGAGGCCCGGTGAGGCGCCCTGGCACAGGCCAGAGCTGGGGTTTGGAGACATGCAGACCTCCAAGGCCGCTCTTGCATGTCCTGGCACGGGCCCGAGTGACGCTTGTTCATTCATTCAGCCAACAAACGTTTAGCAGGGGCTCAGCCCGTGCCAGATCCAGAGTCAGACTGACGAGGTTCCCACACCAAGGAGCTGACGTTATGTGGGGCAGGGGTGGGGACAACAGGGAAGCAATCTGGTTGCGTAAAGGGCCCGAAGGTGCTGAAGGGCTAATGTCAAGAACTACAGGGCGGGGAGTGGACTAGGAAGGCTGGTCTGAGCGCATGACACGTGAGCTGCGATGAGGACGGTGTCGAGTGAAGACCTGAGGGAAAAGCATTCCAGGCAGAGGGAACAGCAGGTGCAAAGGCCTGAGGAAGGAGTAAACTCGACATATTTGAAGAACAGAAAGAAGGAACCAGTGCGAAGGACAGAGGGTGACAGGCGACACGCTCGAGGCACAGAGGGGAGGCCTGATGGCAAGAGACGCTCCCAGGGCCACGGGCACACAGAGCCCACCCGTGTCCAGGCACGGGACTAGCCTTTCTCAAACCGCCCACCAAACGACACAAGGCAGAGCTCTCGTCCAGCTCCAGCCCATTGTCGCAGGGCACACTGTGCCGAGGCTGTGGGTGTGTCCCCCACAGGCAGGGCAGCTGGGAGGTGTTCTCAGAGGCTGGAGCACAGCACTGGTCAGAGGAACTCCTCCGGGACCACCCAGAATCCGCATGTTCAGCCTGCTCCCAGGGCTGTCAGCAGGGCGGACACCGGCCTGCCCCCTGGGGGACCTGGGTGAGGCCACCGAGGGGCCATTAGCTCCCTCAAGGAGTAACTACACAGCTGGAGTGTGGTGGGAGGAGGGCCGGATCCAGCCCCTTTCTGTGGCAGACAGAATGTTCTGGAGCTCAGGAAGAGCGTGGCCTGCCCCCCGCCCCCCCGGATGCCAGGGCAGGACTGCCTCTGCCCAGCTCCTCACAGCAGCCCAGGAGTCAGCCAGAGCCGCTGGCTGAGGGCGGGGCTGATTCCAGGCGCTCACCGCCCTGGCTCTGGGCAACCGACAGGGGCAGCAGGAGCCAACTCATTTCACTTTTCCTGAACTTCCCGGGTTTGGGTTCCAACAAGTCCTCCCAGCAACGACTCCTAGAACAAAGGAACTGGCACTGCCTGGCACCCACTGTGTGCCAGCCCCAACAGGCCCTCTATCAGACCATCCTGCTTGTCTCCCACAGCAGCCCGAGGGGGGTTCGCGTCCTTCCAGAGGGCCCGAGGCCCAGAGGCCGCTGAGGTGGCCAGCAGGCAAGGCCCAGGGCAGAGACCCCAACTCAGGCCCTTCCCCGGGAGCCCAGCTGAGCTCGGGGGTCCCGGTTTCTCAGAACATTTTGTCGACACCAGTCCCTGACCTTACCCAGGGTCTCAGGCCAGCCCGCCTATATTCCAGGGTGACCCCCCACTGTGCGTGGCAGAAACATCTTCATCTCACTGGGCCAAGTGGGTGCCAGGGAGGGGAGGGGAAGTGGCCTGAACCCAGAGGGACCGGGGACCCCAGCTCTGCTGCTAACAGCCTCGGAGCCTGGGCAAGCCGTTCTCTGGCCTCTATTTCTTTCTCTATAAAAAGAACAAGGTCCTGCTTCTCAAAGATGTTATAAGGATTAGATGGTATCATAAATGTCATTATTTAACAATTATAATTATTATAAATAATATAACAATGATTATAAACATTATCACTTAACAATCACTTATGTAGGGATTGTTCTAAACTCGTTTTGAATATTAACTCATTTAGTTCCTCATAATAACCTTATGAGGTACATTCTATTTTTTCCATTTTCCAGATAAAGAGGCACAGAGAGGTGAAGTAACTTGCCCAGGATCACAGAGCTAATAGGCAGCAGATTCGAAATCTGGGTCCAGAGTCTGCGCTCTCGCCCCTGTGCTTCCTTCAGCTCAGTGTGAACCTGGGATGTCCCACAGACCCTGCAGTTCAGGGGTTCAGGAAGCGGGGGCTCGGGAGGCGTGCACCTATTCGCGTCCCAGCTCCACCTGCTGGCCGGGTGCCCTCAGAGTCGCGCCCCCTCCCTGGGCTCCCGTTTCCTCCCTGTCACACGCGAGCAGGGGCACACTGAGGAGCCGAGAGGTCACAGCCTGGCGCACAGTAGGTCAGGAGCCCTGGCCCCCAGCTCTGATCCTTACTTGCTATGTGACTCTCTGCAAGTTTCCCCTCGCCCAGCCTCAGCTTCCCCAAGGGCAGTGACTAGGCTAGCAGAACAGAGCAGTGTTCCTGAACCCTGGCTGCCTGGAGAACCACCAGGGGAGTTTTGCAAAAACCGGTGCCCCGGGCCCCACCCACCAACAGTCAGATCCGGTGGGGCCCTCCGGGCCCTGGTATTTGAAAGCGCACAGGGCACATCCAGGGGGCCTGTAAAGTCCGGCCAGCTTGACTTCTCCGACTTGAATGGGGAGGAAGTGGGAGGAGCAGCAGGTGGCCCCTGGAGCCCGGGGCAGGGTGCAGAGCGCAGAGATGCAGTGGGCAGGCTGGGCCTCCAGATTGGCCCTGTGGCAAAGTGCCTACTGGGTGTGGGCCTTGGCCCAGGAAGTGGGGAGCCTGGGCCTGGTCAGGGCCGAGGAGAATGTGTTCCATGTTGGGAGGGCATGGGAAAGGGGGCACCGGCTGAGACAGGACACCTGGACCCTTGTCCCAGAATGCAGTCTGTTGCCCCCACCCCAGTAGGAGGAAAGACTGGCAGCCCCAGGCTGAATCTGATGTGGCTTCTCACCCTCTGAGGGAAGAAGGCCTTGCCCCCAGGGCCACAGTGACAGGTGTGGCCCTTCCATCACCCATCCCAGCCCGTTCTGTTTTATTCAAATCAAGCAGCTGTCAGGGGCCTAAGTCCAAACCCGCTACCCCAGCAGCTGCTGGGAGGGGAAGTGAGCCAGAGAGGACTCACTGATGGGCGTGGCATCACTGTGCTACTCGGGCCCTGTGCTGGCTCTCCTCCGGCCATAGGGCTCCCTGAGAGGTCAGTGCAGCAAGCCTGGTGGGCTTCCTGGAGGAGACTGAGTAGACTCCAAATGGCTCTTATCACCTTGGGCTTCTTCCTCCTGCTTCTAAGTAGTGAGAGACGGGGCTCTCTCACCACGAGCAGCATTTAGGACCAAGCTCTCAGGGCTCAAGCCCACACCTCTCTCTCAGAAGCTGTGCGAACGTGAGCAAGGGACCCGAGTTCTTGGGCCTCACCTCTTCCTGTGGAAGCAGGAAGAGAGCTGTTCCTACCTCACAGAGCTGCTGTGGGGTTAAGACAGTTGATAACTGCAAAACGCGTAGGCCTGTGAGCACGGACAATACACGTGTCCGTGCTTCCTCCTCCGCACACGTGCCCACCCCAGCTAGGCAGTGCCAGGCACCCAGTAGGCACCTCATGACACCTGACAGTCTATCAGTCCTGGCTCTTCCCTACGTCTCTCTGCACTGGGAAGGGGAGACACTGCGGCCCGCATTTTGCTGAACAGGCCAATGGAGAATGTAAGAGGCTTTCTCAAGGTCAGGGCTGAGGGAAGGGGCCAGGATGGGAGAACAAGCCACCCCAACCCCCAGTGTTCTCTGGACAACAGCCGCTTTGTTTGGGGAGGGAGGGAAAATTCCTTCCGGAACCCCCTGCAGAGGTCAGCAGCAGGGCCTGGGCCGGGCCCTGAGGTCAGCGGGCGAAGTGACCAGCAGCACTGAGGCTGACGTGTTGGTGGGGGCTGCCCTGCCTGCCCCCCCAGGCCACGGGGCAGGGGAAGCAGGGGTCTCCTTACGCAGGACGTAGATGAAACTGCTCCTGTCGGCCAGGATCCACACTCCGAAGCCCAGGATCACTCCACCCAGGATCTGGAAAAAGAAGGGGGCAGTTAGCGGGGGATGGAGAGCAGGTGGCAGAGAGAACCCTGCCCAGGCCAGGGGGATACAGGGGAGCCTGACCCAGGGATGTCAAAGAGGCCTCAGGCCCCAAACCCCAAGTCCCAGGAAACCTCAGCAATCCAGATAGCAGGACAATTGTGGGAGCCCCTTCTGCCTCCAATCTCCCCACCCCAGGACCATGTGTGGTCAGACCGAGCCTGCGCACTCTGTGGGGCACAGCGTCCTGCCAGGGGTGCCCTCCTACTCATCCCCTAGCCCTTTCCTACGCTCAGTGCCCAGCTCGAGGGCTGGGAGTGGCCCGAACAAGCCAGGCTCCAGGGAGAACCCCTCATGAACTTGAACATCGAAACCCGACTTGCCCTTCAGAGCTGGGCCCCAAGGCCACCTTCCGCAGGAGCCTTCCTGACCCCCAGGCAGATTAAGCCGCCTCTACTCTGTGGCCATCACTGTGGGACCCTTCTCATTAGGCGCTCGGCTGGGTTCAACCCCCACGTGACTCCAGTTAGACTGTGAGGTCCTGGAGGGCAGGGCAGGCTGCAGGCAGCTGTGTCCAGCACCAGGGGCTGGCAATAAATGAGTTCGTGAACCAACTGTAAATGCAGGAGTAGAAAGGCAAAGGAATGAGGGCCGGCCCAGGCCCAAGAACTAACTCCTGCCTCTCTGCTCCACCAGGGCGGGTCCACAACCTGAGCCCACCTGCCCAGGTGGAGCCCCAGCCATGATCCACCACCCTACTGAGCCAGCTAAGGCGGGGGCAGTGCCTAGAGTCTGGACAAAGATCGTTCCCCTGGGTGCGGAATGCCGCACCCCCTCACGGCTGGCCTTCACCTGCGGATAACCCACCTTCAGGGCCCCGGCATGTCATCACCACCTTGACCACCAGCCCTGGGTTCCCACCTCGGCCATCACCCCACAGCCTCAGGTGCAAGACCAGCAGCTGCCCATACAGCCCTCAGCCTGGGGTCAGCGTCCCAGGGTCCTGATCACCCGGGTTCTACTGTCGGTGGAGACCAGAGCTGGGATGCTGTGGAAGGCGAACGGGCATTTGCTTCAGGTGTTCAAAATTAAGGGGACACCAAACGACTCAGTAACCAAGGTAAAGAAGAGTTTATATCAGTTATTATTTTTATTGTTAATCCTTACCCGAGGGTATTTTTTCCTTTTTTCAGAGAGTAGAAGGGAGGGAGGGGGAGAAAGAAAAACACCATGAGAGCAAAACATCAATTCACTGCCCCCTACCGGGGACCAAGCCCGGAAACTGGGCCTTGTGCCCTTGTCGGAATCGACCCAGCAACGTTTCAGTGCATGAGATGACACCCAACCAACTGAGCCACGTGGCCAGGGCCGATTTTCCCTGGACAAGGAGCGGACCCCTGCTTCTGGGCACCTCACTGGCCTCGCCCTCGTCCAGGCCCCTTAAAGACAACAGCAGGTCGTGACCACCCCACAGGCTTCCAGCAGCTCACAGGCCCCCTCCTCTCTCCTTGCAGATGGGCCCTGCCATTGTTCTCCTTTTACAGATGGGAACACTGAGGCCCTGACCTTGCTCAAAGCCATTCAGTTCCCCCACCGGGGGCTCGAGGCCGGTCTGACTGAGCTGGGTCGGATGATGGCACTCAGCTGCAGGGGTACTTGGGGTCTGTCCTGGGTGTTAGCCTAGAAAGCCAGTCTCAGGGGAGAGGAAGGCTACTGAGTCCCTGGGAGGGAAAGGGTGCACCCGCAAGTGGGGGTACCCCAGACTGCACAGCCTGCTGGGAGGAAGGTGGCTTTACAGGACCTGGCAGTTAGGTTCCCAAGGACTCCTGAGCCCCTGCCCTCCCCGCCCTGACCCTCAAGACACAGCTGAGCAAGGGCATGGGTCAGGCCCGAGGTCTGCTCCTGTCCCCTGGGACCTGCCTCCTGCACTCAGGCTGGAGGACGCCGCCCTTCCAGGGGGGAGGAGGCCGGGCAGCAAACTCCCTCCGGTGGTGTAACCCCGAGGAGTACACTCCCGGCTGCCGGGCTAAGCTCCGAGGCTCCCGGAGAACCCCGAGGGAAGCCCGCGGCCCTTTCAGTTTCTCAGCAGGCATGAGGACCGCAGCCTGACCGCAGGTGTGGCTGGTCAGCCACCAGGTCATGGGACAGCCTGGAAGGAGGCTGGGGTAGGTGGCTGACCGGAACGGGGGAGGCACCATGGTCCCCCCTTTCTCTGTGAGCCCAGACTGAGGCCCTGGCGCACACCTCACCTTAGCCACCCCCAGCCCTGCCAGGACCTCCCCGCAGGGCTCAGCCAGGAGCTGGGATGCTGACAGCCAGCTCCCCCCCGCCCCCCAGAAGCCTGGCACCAGCAGCAGCTTCAGGCTTTCTCTGCATGTGCGGAAAGCTGAGGGGGCAATTTTCTGAGAATCTGGGGTCAGGAGGGTGTGTGGGCACAAACGCACACGTGTGCACATGTGAGCGCCCATGGCGGCCAGAGCGATTTTCCCAAACCACACGTGCACACGTGCACACGTCCTGGCTTCCCACTGCGCAGAACAGACCGGATGGTTCTGGGAGCCCGAGGACCGGTGCCGGGGAGAGGCGCTCTGCCCCTCCCCCACCAGACTTCATTCCTGCTGCTGGGACCCCCGCTCCCCAGCCACACGGAACCCCGCGAGGCTTTTGCTGACCAGCCTGACGAGGTCAAGTACCGCTTATCTGCTCTCCTAGGGGCCACGGCCTTCATTCCCAGCACCTGCCACACCGTGTCATCATCCATTGGAGTATTTGACTGGAGCCCACCACCGCCCAGACTTAAGACCCGTGGGTGCAGAAACTGTGGCTCTTCTGCTGGTTAGTGTGGACCTGGCACCCCCTTGGGTCTGAACACAGAGGGGTCAAACACAGTTTGTGGATGGGTGGAGAGCAAACACACTGTCGCCTCTAATTCTCTCCTGTCCCCGGTCCTCTGTAATAAAAACTCCCCTCCCTCACCCCACGCTCCACATCCTGGGGGCTGTTCTGGGCCCAGCACACAGGGAGTTACCACCTGACTCCCCCGTCCCCCTGGAGCAGCTGCGAGGCAGCCAAGCCCCCAAGACCAGCCCCCGGAGCTCTGGCCAGAGAGAAGCTTTTCCAGTCTCTGGTTCCACTGGGCAGCCTAGTAGAACAAGGACACCTCGGCCAAAACCACCAACCCTGCTTTCTCCACAAAGTGTCTACCTCTCCCTCCCACTGCAAGGAGGGAGAGCGGGTACCTAGTCCTGAACCCCAAGCCCTGCCCCATCTAGGATGTAGCCCAGACCCCTCTCTCCAGTCCCTGGATTCTCCAGGGATGGAACCACAGCCGTCCCTTGTCCCCCACTGGCCCCTGAAGCCCGGCCTGAGCCTGGGAGCCTCCTGCCTGCCAGGGGAGGCTGGGCTCTGGCCGCTTGGGCAGCTGCTTTCCAGAGACCCGGGCCGGCCAGGAGGGCCTGACTGCCAAGCTGCGCAAGCCCCGGTGCCCAGGCCTGCCCGGGGGCTTCCAGCCCGACGGCCTCAGTGGGAACCAGAGCCCCAGCAGGGCCTCAGCATGGTCCTCGAGGAGGGAGGCGGGCTGGAGCCAGGGTACATGAACAGCAGGGGAGCAGCACGGGCTGGTCCATGTGCATATACGTGTGCATGTGTGTACACGTGTGCTTTCGTGTGCCAAGAACCCACTTGTAAGTATCTGTGTCTCTCTCACATTGCTGTTTCTCTCTCTCTCTCTCTGTCTCTCTCTCTCTCCCTCCCTCCCTTCCACTCCATCTAAAAGTCAATGGAAAAATATCCTCAGGCAAGGATTAACAAATAAAAACGAATAAATCCAAAATTTCCAGGAATCCCAACATTAGCATTTGGAGGCATCTTTTCTCCTCTGAAGAACACACACACCCCATCCTGGCAGCTCCAAGGCAGGAGGAGTTGGTCGGTGCCAGGCCAGGGAGGGAAATGGAGGCCCCAGGATAAACAGGTCCAGATGTGCATGGGGCGCACATCGGGGCGGCCCCTGGCTCAGGGACCCAGAGATGCTGCCAGGGTGGGTCTGGGGAGAGGGAGCTGGGTCTCCACTCTGGCCCAGAGCCCAGCCTCCTGGCACCCACCCTCTGGGAGCTCAGGGCACATCCTCCACATGGGGGTGGGAGTGTGGAGGGGGGCAGCTGACACCCAGAATGGTAGCAGGCAAGTTGTCAGAGAGGCAGAGGAGAGTGGGGGTCAGGACAGGACAAGAAGGATTCCAGGTACTCCCCCTGCAATTCCCTGATGAGAGAACTTAGGAGATGCCCAGGGGGCTTTCCTCCCCCACAGCCAGCTTCAGCCCTGACAGCGGCCTCAGCACCCAGGAGAGGGGGGGCTGGGCGAGGCGTCCAGTGCTCTGGAGGGAGCCAGCTGGGAATGCCGGAATCTCCTCGCCACCCGACCTGTTCCATCTGGAATGGGCCGCCCTCAGTCCCCACCCACCACACCCCGCCACCGTCCCCAGGCCTGGCATCTCCAGAGGTCTCGGGCTGGGATGCGCCAGGGACAGAGTCTGTTGGAGACAGTCAAGCGGCGCTGGCCATACTTACAAAGAAGAGCAAGTTGAAGAGAAAGAGGAAATATTTGGTGACTTTGATGCAGGCTGACCCCATCCTGCTGGCCCTGGAGCTGCCTGTGGAGAGAGAAGCAGTAGGTCAGTGCAGGGTGGGACGGGGTGGGGCAGGGGAGGAGAGAGCCAATGCTGATGGGCACCCACCATCTGCTGGCCCCAAATCTTCACAACAGTCCCATGAGGTAGGTACTAATATAAGGTCTGTTTTATGCCACCTTGAGGCCCAGAGAGGTTAGATGACTGGCCCAAAGCCACACAGCTAGGAAGTGTGGACCCTATGAGTAATCTCGGCAGGTAGATGCTTGGCAGTTAGGGTCTGGGTCAGCCCTTCTACTGGGGCCAGGATGGAGGGAAATTATATAGGAGAACCTCAGGGTTCAAGACCTGGCCAGATGACTTATGGAAGGCAGGACCCGGAGGTTCGTGAGTGACTGCTGGAGACCCAGAAGTGAGACCTGTGGCTTGTTCCACACGCTTTCAGATCCCCTCTGGGGCCAGGGGCTGGGGCAGTGGGGGCTACAGGGGGCAGGAAAGTTCCAGCTTCTCAGAAAATGGACCGAGTGCTCCCTCCACCTTCTTACCAAGGGAACACATATGCAAGTGACGCATCCAGCAGACACAGAAAAACACAAATGCAACCGTAACTTTCACCTCGCCCGAGATGAAGAGTGTCATCATTTCAGTAGCTGCACCTCCGGAAGGTGAGTGTACAACAATGATCTTAAAGAGCACGGGCTCTGGCTGTGCCGAGTGAACTGCCGGCTGCCCTGTTCATTCTGCAGCTACCGTCTCTCCGTGGCGAGGACGCCTCCCACAGCCGGCTTTACCACTGCGCAGCACCCCACGATGTCGATCGGCACTTACCGACACTTTGGGGAGGGGTCACAGACTCTCCCAGAAAGCTCATGTACAGATAACATTTTTCAAATAATTTCTGGGAATTCATAGACCCCATGAAGCCCATTTGGGAACCCCCAAGGACTCCAGGTTAAAGTCCCAGATGTAGATACATCGCCAAGATTTAATCAATGCTCAAGATTGAACACACAGACCCTGGCCAGTGTGTTCAGTGGTTAGAGCACTGGCCCAAGCAGGGAAGGGTCATGGGTTCGATTTCTGGCCAAGGGCAGTGCCTGGGTAGCCTATTTGCCCCGGTGGTCAGGGCATGTGCAGGAGGCAACTAAGGGATGTGTCTCTCTCATTCTGATGTCTCCCCCTTCTACTCTCTCTAAAAATCAATGGAAAAAAATATCCTCAGGTGAGAACTAACAAAACAAAACAAAAAGATTTAACACACAGGTTATTTACAATTTTTTGGTCACTCTGGGGGACACAACTCCTGCTTTTTTTTTTAATCCTCACCTGAGGATATTTTTCCATTCACCTTCAGATAGAGTGGGAGAGAGAGAGAAAGAGAGAAATATCAATGTGAGAGACACATTGACTGGTTGCCTCCCGCACTACCCCGACCAGGGCTGGGGACTTAACCGCAACCAACATACGTGCCCTTGACCAGAATGCCCTTGACCCCTGACTATCTGGTCTGCAGGCCGAAGCTCTAACCACTGAGCCAAACTGGCCAGGGCTTCAACTCCTGCTTCTGAAACAGCAGAAACCACGCTTGAGCCTGTTGTGAACCTAGACAGAAGGAGCCCAGGCCAGACGACCCAGGATGACAGCAGCCAGCCCTCAGGCTCGGAGGGGTGAAGGGATCCAGCACCAAGCAGTTGGGCCTGGAGAGCTGGCCAGGCCACGCCGGGGTGGCGGGAGGCAGGCGTCAGACCGAGTCCCGTTTCCACGAAAGAGGGGAGGGGATGCCACAGAGCAGGGAATGGAGGCCCTGCCCCAGGTGCAGGTTTCCCCCCTCCCTCCTCGCAGAAGGGCAGACCTGTCATGGGAATCCCCCTGTCCGTGCGGAGGTCCCTCAGCCTTCTCTGGACATAGTGACACTCTTCTCTCGTCCTTGCCAAGTGGAAGTTCGGCTTCAACTTTGTACACTCCCAGTGCAGCGGGAGGGGGTGGGGAGGGCGCACCGCCTCCCGGGGGTTCAGTTCAGTGTGCTAACATCCCGTCTTCAGCTGCCTTTCTGTGGGTCAGATTCGGGCGCACGAAACAAAGCCGCCCAAGGAAGGAAAATGGCTATCTGGTTGGTAGTGAGCACCCTGTCACAAGTGGCATGGAAGCAAAGTCTGAATAAAGATTTACAGGGGGGCTCGAGTACTACATGGGGAAATTAGACTACAGGCTCTTCCCAGCCACCAGGGTCCAAGATCTGGGTCTGAGAAATGCAGAGACAGCGCCGACTCCGGAGCCAGGAAAGCTCGGCCTCAGCAACTCAGCCTGGGACCTCCCCCAGACCCGGAGGGGAGAACTGCACCCTCACCCCTAGGTCAGGAGATCCAGAGATCTGAGAGCAAGGCCTGCGGGGGCTGGTCCATACACAGGGAGCTCCTGTGTTCCTCTGTCCCCTCCCAGCGCAGCGCCTGACAGACCGCAGGCACTTCATAAACTTGCAGGGAACAAACAGCCAGCGAGCAAAGCGCCTCTCGGGGAGGGAGGCACGCTTGTCTGTCCTCCCAGGGGCCTGCGGGCCTGGCTGGGCTTCTTCCCAGCACATGGCACGTGGTGCCCGCCCCTGGGGCTGACGCAGGCGCACAAACAGCCTGGCGATGGCAAGTCCTCGCTTCTTTTTTTTTCAATCTTCACCCAAGAATATTTTTACATTTTTATCTTCAGATAGAGCGGGAGGGAGGGAGGGAGGGAGAGAGAAACACCGATGTGAGAGAGACGCATCGGCTGGTTGCCACCCGAACGACCCCAACCTGGGCTGGGGCCGAACAGCAGCCGAGGTACGTGTCCTTGGCTGGAATCGAACCCTGGACTCTAGCCCACAGGCTGACGCTCTAACCGCTGAGCCAGACCGGCCAGGGCGGCAAGTCCTCATTTCATCAGAACTTTCCGGTAACTGCATCCCAGCGCCGAGGGCCCAGAGGCATGAGCGCCATTTGGTTCTTGTGAAACTGGAGAAGTGTGGCAACAGCCCCTCAGCAGCTGCAGCAGCCTAGAGTCTGGGAGCCAGTGTGTACACTTTCCGGCTCCCACACCCTCCTCCAGGCCAGGTGTCCCCGACCTCGAGGGCCGGGGCGCTCAGAACGGGCCGCTTTTAGACTCGAGCGCAAACCAGGCCTGCCCAGTACGACGGCGAAGCTCCTGTGATCAGCCACTGGCTGCCGTCAGCTCCTCTCATCCTTCCAACCTGCCGGGTGGGGGTATTCTTGTCCTGGGGGGGGGCGCAGGCCCAAGCAGGGGCAGTGATGCCCAAGCCACCCACTTCTTAAGCAGCCCAAGAGCTTCCCACCGTGACATGCTGTCTGCAGGGAGTGGCGTGCCTGTCGGGATGGCGGGGATTCCGTGGCCAGGCAGGGAGTGAGGACCACGGCGACTGCGCAGAGGGGCTCTGCTTTGGTGCCAAGAAAGAGGCAGAGGCTGCTGAGCTGGCAAACCCGGCACTCCAGCCCTGGGGCCACCTCACCGGTCTCTTGGTCACTCACACAAATTGTACCAGGCGCTGGACAAGGCCTTCGGCACCCTAAGAGCAAACTAAGGCACAGAGGCTGGAGGAGCTTGTCCGGTCAGCAGTACATGGCGCTGACACCGTGGGCCGCCCTCTCCTCCCCAGGAAGCACCTGGGCGGGTTCAGACGCTGGAACAGAAGCCCGGCCTCCCCACGACTGGCAGGCAGCTTGGCCAATCGAGGCAGACCCAAAGACTCACTGGGAACCGCCTGAGGGAGGAGAAGGGGCTGGGAACCAGAGCCTGGGGTGCATGCTCCCGGGCTTGTGGCCAAGATTGGGGACACAAGTCTTTCTGCGCTGCGAGCAGACATGTCCCCTCACAGCCGCAGGGAACAGCGGATGAGTGTTCTCCATCCCCTGGCAGAAGGTGGGCCAGGGCTCAGCGCAGGCTGGGAACACACCTGGGTCGCCCCACGATGGGGTATGGCATCAGCTTTAGGGAGCACTCCACCACCACCAAGCCCCCAAGGAGACCCCAAAGTTGGAACCCGAGGGCTCGGGGTTACATTCTAGCTCCGCCTGCCCATGCTGAGGGGTCTGAGTCCCAGTGTCTTCATCCACAAGACAGGAATACGGCCAGGGTAGGACAGGGTAGGACAGGGTAGGACAGGGTAGGACAGGGTAGGACAGGGTAGGACAGGGCGCGGCCAGTGAGGCCTGATGACCAAATCCAACCTGCTACCTATTTTTCCTATGGCTTATGGGCTAGGAACAGATTTTACATTTTAAATAGTTGGGAGAAAATAAAGAGAAGAGTCGTTTGTAACACGATATTGAAACTCCAGTGGCCATAAATACAGCTGGGCTGGCTACGGCACTGCTCGGGCACTGCAGTGGCAGAGGGGCGGCCCCGCAGACGGCTGGCCCGCGAGGCCTCAGGCATTCACTGCCGGCCTCTTACAGAAAAAGCTCGTCCACCCGGCCGGTGTGGCTCACTGGCTGAGCGTTGACCCATGCACCAGAGGTTGCCGGTTCGATTCCCGATCAGGGCACATGCCCAGGTTGTGGGCCCGATCCCCAGTGGGGGCGTGCAGGAGGCGGCCAGTCGATGTTCTCTGTCGTTGATATTTCCGTCTCTCTTCCTCTCCCTCTAAAATCAATAAAGAAAAAAAAAAGCTCACCGGCCCCTGGGAGAGGGGAGCAAACGGTAGTGACACAGGATCCCAGACAAGGGTTCACATCCTGACTCTGCTAGTGCACGGCCACAGGGAAGGGACTTCCAGGCCTCGTTCTCCTCACTGGCAGGATGGGCTCCAAACTGAACCCGAGTCTGAAGACAGCGAGGGCGGGCTGGGGTCAGGACGCAGGGAGTGGAGCGGCAGGCATCTCTCTGAGAGCTGCCGGGGAGGGAGGGTGAGCGCTGCGTCCGCAGACGGAATGAAACAGACACCGTCGCCCTGGGTGCTGCTTCCTCGTGTCCACGTTCTGCGAACACTGGAGGGTCTCCCCATGCCTCCCTGCCGGGATGTCTTCACAGCCACAGAACAAGCACACTTTATGTGGAAAATTCCAGAACAGTCGCTGACAACTGTGCATGCCGCAGGAGGAAGAAAGTACCGATTTCATGTTATACTTTATAGCAGGTAAATCGACCATTTCTAAGCATCTATAATTTAAATTGACCAAATATATAATTTTATGCCACATTGGCTTGTACAGTGAATTTGTTATACTAACATATCATTAGCTCCTACTCATCCTAGTATCATCTCGGGCCTCCACCTCCTCCAGCCTGTCACCACGGCACGGCCGCGCCTCCCCAGGGCCAGCACCCTTGCCGGTTAGGGGCACTTCGTCTCCGCTTCCTTCCAACAGCACTGGACGCTGGAGCAGTTGCCAGAACAGGCTTTGGCCTCAGACTGCCTGGGTTTGAATGTGCTTCTATCACCTCCTAGCTGTGTGACTTAGGACACAGCAATTAGCCTCTCTGAGCCTCGCCTTACTTATCTGTGAAAAGAGGAAAATGAAATCTACTTGGCAGATTTGCCCGGAGATTAAACCAGATAATGTAGGCAAAGTGTCTGGCGCGAGGCAGGCTTTCAATGAATGGAGGTTACTGTCCACCTCACAGCGCCGTGCACCGACTTTCTGCCCACTTGTCCGTCTGCCCCGTGCATTGTGATACCTTGCAGGGAATGGCTATGCATTATTTATGAGAGTGAAGTCGGCTCCCAGAAAACGTTGCCAACTGGAGCATGGGCAGGTGGAGGGATAGGAGGATGGAAGGAAGAAGGGTGGAGAGAGAAAGGGTGGAGGGATGGAAGGGTGGAGGGAGGGAGGGTGGAGGGATGGGAGGGTGGAGGGAAGGAGGGTGGAGAGAGGGAGGGTGGAGGGAGGGAGGATGGAGAGATGGGAGGAGGGATGGGAGGATGGAGGAAGGGAGGGTGGAGGAAGGGAGGGTGGAGGAAGGGAGGAGGGATGGGAGGATGGAGGGATGGGAGGATGAAGGAAGGGAAAGTGGAGGGAAGGAGGGTGGAGGGATGGGAGGGTGGAGGAAGGGAGGGTGGAGGGAGGGAGGAGGGATGGGAGGGTGGAGGGATGGGAGGATGGAGGGATGGGAGGATGAAGGAAGGGAAGGTGGAGGGAAGGAGGGTGGAGGGATGGGAGGGTGGAGGGAGGGAGGAGGGATGGGAGGATGGAGGGAGGGAGAGTTGCGAGGTGAAGCGGAAGAGGAGACATCCCACAGAGAATACCAAGACTTTCAAGTACTTGGCCACCTAAAGGGGTCTGAGGTCCACCGCCCCTGAGTCAGCTGAGACTACTGTCAGGCCCCTTTTCTCCTCACCCCTGGGATGAGGTGGGGGCGTGCAGGGTGAGCGGCCAGAGCCAGCTCTGAATGTCAGACCCCCTGCCAGGCCCCTTGCCCACCCAGAGCCCCTGGCACAGGGAAGGGACTGGTGTCTGAGAACCCTTCTGTGTTGGCCCTGTGAGCGTGCCCCTATAGAGTAGGAGGCTTGGGGACAGCCTTCCAGCCTGACCCTAGAATCTGGATGAGCCCCCATAGCCTTGGGGAAGCTGAGTGGGGTCTGCGGCTGTGCGCCCCAAGGCCCAGAGTCAGGAGGTGTGGGTGAGGCCAGCTCTGCTGCTCACTCAGCAGGACACCTAGCACAGGTGACACCCCAGCCCCCACGCCCACCCCGCCTCCTCACCTGACCAAGCAGCGGTTTCTGGAGCAGTTCCTCAGGGTACGAGTCCTAAGAGATGTGCTGTTAAGAACAAAACATTTTGCTGTCACCGAGTGTGAAGCAACAATTCTCTCTGAGAGTCACTGTCCATTAGGCTGTTAAGGACTCTGTACTGCAATCACCCTGCTGACCAAAAACCACTGTTCACAGCCCTTATACACCGTAGGACGCGCTCTCAAGGGCCCTTGGGGGCAGGTGCCCAGGAGTGTAAGTTCTGCAGGGTTCAGAGGAGGGGAGAGGGCCCTTCACCCTCCGGGGCTCCAACACCTGAGGGCCTCAGTCAGGTCTCGGCCTCACCCCCTCATCCCACAGCCCTCCAGCACCCTCCCCGGCCCCACGCCTCACCGGGACCCGTCCAGTTCCCTAGCTGGTCACGGGTTCCCCCCGCCCTCCCCAGTCCGTTATCCACAGAGGAACGGCTTTGAAAAATGCAAACCAGATCTTGCCACACCCCAACCCTGAGAACCATGCAATGGTGATATAGCTGAGATGTTTGCTGTAAAATTCATGCACTGATGTGCCCGTGGGGGCCTCGCCTTGTGCACCCCGCCCCCTTCAGTCCTCAGCCCCACCCCCTTCCCATAAACACGTTCGTTCCTCAGGCCGCCGAGGCCACTCTTTCCTGTTGTTCTAGTAGAGCCGGCCTTGTGGGTCTTTGACCTGTAGCTTCTTCCAAGATCGCCTCCCCCAAAGCCCCAGCTGGCTCCTCCCCCTGTAGGCGGAGCCCCTCCTCCCCGCAGCCTTCCCTGAGCACCTGGTCTGCGCAGCCGGCCTCACCTCCAGCTGCACATCAGAATCAAAATATGCCAGTGCCAGGCCCCTGCATCCCTCACCCACCACGTCGTCAGAATCTTGGGGGGACTCCCCCCGTGACTAAGGAGCGGCAGCTTTGACACCTGGACCTGTCACACGCCCTGCTCACTGCATTTATCTGAGGGGTTCACTTCTGTGTCTGCAGCTCCCGTGAGAGTGTGGGTCCTTAGGGGGGCTGCGTCCGTGGCATTCACCTGCACCCCGAGCCTGGACCAGTCGCGAGTACCAGCAAGCACTGGGTGTGTATTTGCAGGATGCGGGGAAGGGGGGCGGGGCAGTCTGGAGAGGTAAGGACGGTTCCGTAGAGAAGACAGACCAACTTTGGTCCTGCAACTGGAGGTTTCTGCCCCTTAGAACTGACATCACTGGTTTGGGGGGGTTCCCCCTAAGAATGGATCTTAATCTCCTTCGGGTCAGAAAAGCCCATGGAAGCTGTGAACCGTCTCCCAAGAAAGACACACACACTGCCATCTGGTCAGGGGTCGCGGGGCCGGGAAAGCCAGGAGGTCCTCGCTTCCCCGTGTCCCCTTGCTTGGAGCAGTGGTCCTGACCACTGCACACTGGATTACCCCGGGAACTCTAACACTTGCTGGTGCCTGGGCCCCTCCACCCGAGATGCTGACTTAATTGGTCCAGGGACTCTAATGTGTGAAGCCCGCTGCCCTCTGCTGGGAGGGGGATGCAGGCAGACCTGGGGTCCCCGGTGCAGCAGGGCCCAGCCAGGGACCATTCCCACGAGCTCCCAGCACCTCTGCACCATGGAGGCACACCCCCGAGTCGTGAACCCCAGAGCACTGTCCTCTCTGCAGGCGCCGACCTTTGAGATCAGTGCCTTGTTCAAGGGGCCGGAGAGAGCAAGAGCCTGCAGCCACAGTAAAACCAGAGCTGAGCACGCGGCGGAGGACTGGAGATTCTGGCTGAAGCTCCTCTCTCCGCCTGCTGCCTGTCCCAGCTCACCAGACCTTCCGCAGAGGGAGGTATCGGAACGGAACTCAGACTCACATAGGGACCCTTGGTTCCCTCCCCTGGATCTGCCACCTATCAGCCACATACCCGTGGGGGACACTGCAGAGCTACCTCCCTGTCAGCGAATGGGGACACGACCCCGCCCACCCCACGCTGGTGCGCAGGTGGCCGCAGTCAGGCTAGCACCCAGTAGGGCTTAGTCCGGGCTGGCACCCTGGCCCGCTCCTCCTCCCCCTGCCTGAAATGCCAAATCTGCCACATCTTACCAGCTGTGTGGCCTTGAGCAGTCACTTCACCACTGTGCCTCAGCTTTCCCACCTATAAAACGGACTTAATAATGGGTTTTGTTGAGACTATGTGAGTTAGTATCTGTAAAATGCCTGGCACCCAGTAAATGTCAAATAAATGCTACCGATTACCATGATGATGATTCCTATTCGGAGGTTGTTAGTTTTCACCAAGAGTCTGAAGCCCTCTGAGGGGCTTGATCCGGCCTCCAGATAGGTGCCCAGCCTGGAGGTCAGAGGGTGCCAGCGGGTGACCACTGCTGCTCTGGGGCAAGGGCTTGGGGTGAAGGAAACAGGGCTGGCAGGGCCACCTAAGGAAGGAGGGCCTCTGCCCGCCACCTGGGAGGGGCCTCGGGCTCTGGGCTCTGCCTCGGGACCTGGGGCCTGGAGGTCCAGCCGGTCTGGTGAGTTGTCCAACTAGTCCCCTGGGAGCTCAGTCTATGTCTTGGGTGGAAAGTGGACGCACCTGGCTGCGGGCACCCCACCTGCAAGCCCATTCCTGGCCACCCAGCGCGCCCGTCCTCTGGACTTTGTCCTGGTCGCCCATGAAAAGAGGCTGGTCACAGGTGGCTGTGTTTGTTTTCATGTGTGACAGGTGATGTATTTCCTGAAAACACAGCTGGCTCCGGGGCTGGCTGTCTGAACTCTTCACTATCATATTTTTCAGGCTCTGGCCTTACCCTTTTGGTTGTTGTTAAAACAAAAAAGAAAAACGAAAGTCAAAAAGTTGTTACTCTGGGCAACAGAAAAATGGTGGGGCCATAGGCATGGTTAGGATCTCAAGTTTCCTTCAAGACCAGGGTTTGAATCCCAGCTCTGCTTCTTCCTAGCTGTGCTGTGAGCTGGAGCAAGGGAGTTGGTAAGCCTCTCCGAGCCCAACACCTTGTGTCTACCACGGGGACACCAGCAGGACCCCTGTCTTATAGGATTGTTGGGGGACCAAGGTGAGGTGCATGAAGCTCTTTGGGGAAACTGTCAGTTGCTCAATATAAGTGAGCAAATCCCACCACCGCGGCATCATGGCTTGGAAGAAACAGGTCCAGATCACACCCTCCGAGGAATCATGGGACTTCAGAGCCTCAAGGCCACCTTTCTGTCTCACGGATGCCGAAGCCAAGGCTCCACGAGGAACAGCTCCTGCCGTATGATCCCACCAGCCAGTGTCATAGGCTCCCATTCTCCTGAGGACTCATCACCCTGGAGCTGGGACTGACCCCTGGCATTTGGGGAAGGAGGCCAAGGGTACCGGAGGCACGCAGGCAGCAGCCATACCTGGCCCCACTGTGGCAGAGGAGGGATAGCAACTTAGAGTTTGCATCATGCCACTCCCATTGTTCCTCGTGTAATCGCTCTAGTATCCCACCCTTGAGATATTATTTCCCCACTTAACAGAGGAAAAAACAGACTCAGAGGTTCAGTGGCTTATCTAGGGCCTTATCTAGGGCTAAGCCTTGATTAAAACTCAGGTCTGATTTGAGACCAGAGCTCCTTCTCCCTCACCTGCCACCTAAGGGAATAAGGCAGATGGTGGAGCCTGCCTACCCTACCCTTCTGTACCTCTGTACCTCTGTTTGCCTGGCCCCTCACCCTCTCCCAGCTCTGCAGCTTGACTCTTGGCTTCCTGTCAGGAAGGAACAGATCAGCCCCACCAAATCTGGCCAGGGTGTTCCTTCAATGTGCCTAATGAGGGTGACAGAT